CATTTTTCGACAATATGAGCAGCGGCCGACATGGATGGTTTGGGTTCTGCATTATTTGATGCGTCAAAATCACTTCCCCCGAAATTCGGCGGTATTGAGCTGAATATAGTTCCAACGACCGTAATCTCTCCTCAGAGGTGAGATAATGCGATCCATTTACCGTCTTGGTGGCAATCCTTTGTGTACCCTCCAGCGTCTTACGATCACATTGCAACCATAGACTCCAAGCTTGGATGGCGTACTCTGTGTACGGTCGGATGTACACTGATAGCAAGCGTGGGAATAGTGCTGATTCAAAGCGTCCAAAGACTTGCCTAAGCAAGCCGACATTCTTCACAGCAGCAGACGAAGCCTTAGCGCAATTGATCGAGCAGCTCATGTAGGTCATTTTGAACAATTATACCTAAGTCCTTTTTACCTGAGGTATGTGGTAGTTGCTGATTCCCGAGGAAATAAGAGAATCTTCTCTTGTGGCGTAGGGATAGGACTTTGCATTTAGAAACATTGAATGTGTCATGTTCTAGCCTATATTTGCTTCTGTTTACTAATAACCAGCACATGCAAGCAGGTTGCAACGGTCATTGAACGTCACCATAAGGAATGATGCGATGAGATTACAGTTAAGAACTTTCCTTGATAACTCGATGACGTACTTGGTCATTGCTTATGCGATTTTCCTGCTGAATGCAAGAGATTGTGCAAAGACAGTTAAATGACGAATATCCCAAAGAAACAAACGGTGGGTCACTGCATTTAAACGGTCACTAATAATCTCAAACGGCATGAGAGCAATCAGTTCAATCAGTGATAAGTGGCTTTGGTTTTCAAGGGTGGAAGTGTTTTGGTTGCACATGCAGAATGACAAATTCATCTGGTATAGAGTAATTACGAAAATTAAAGAAAGTTGATAACTAAGTAGATGCTAAAAGTGTTGCACAGAGAGCAGTTTTGTCCAAAGATCGCTCGAGATCAAGAGTGAACAATACGTCTGTGGAATCCAAATTGGTTTTTCTCATCTGGGTTATGTTATTTCAGCTTCTATAATCTCACTCATTCCTTAAATGGAGATTCTAATGAAAGAGATTACCTCGGGATTCAGTTGATCGCCAGCCATTGAACTA